AAACCATTAGAGTAGGCACCCCCCCCTAGCCAAGTGGGGGACTCGCTCACTCGGTGCCATTGTGGTGGCAAAGCAACACCCTTCCTGTCATTGTGTTTTTTGCTCAAGTGTTAGACCCTTCGGGCCTCAGGTGCTGGTTGAAGGAGGATTTGCCCCGCGTTCCTGGTGGGGATAAGTAAGCACGCAGTGTTTTGTGGAGTACGAGTGGGCTGGAGCCCCGAGGTCGCAATGTCCGGCCTAAAAGCAGACAGCAACATCGACAGCTGTGTCGCAATGTCCGGCCTCAAAGCAAACAGCAACATCGATAGCTGTGTCGGCAATCTACACCAACCACACAACAGCGTCCTCAAGAGTAGCAACAGCAGCAGCAGTGGATTCATTGTTTGTAACTTCAGTAGTAAGAAAAAATGAGAAGAACACACGCAAGCGGCGGCAAACGAAGCAAACAACCGAATCGTGATCAGGTGGCAGCAATCGTGGAGGACAAGATTCTTTGCATGCACGGCGGCATCAGCCCGGAGCTGCAGCGTCTCGGGCAGATCTTGGAGATACCCCGGCCCATCGACGTCCCCGATGAAGGGTTGCTCTGCGACTTGCTCTGGTCGGATCCCGAGGCCGGGATTTGCGGGTACGGCAGTTTGCGGTACAGCAAGTAGATCCTTGTCCAAGAACATATTTTAGTTAGTTTTCTCTCTTTTTTTTCGTACCTATCTACGATCTGGGACAGATCTTGGAGATACCCCGGCCCATCGATATCCTCGGTATAGTACTCCCCTTAAATATGTAGGAGATACCCCGGCCCATCGATATCCCCGGTATAGTACTCCCCTTAAATATGTAGGAGGTACCCCGGCCCATCGATATCCCCGGTATAGTACTCCCATTAAATATGTAATTGGTTAGTTTTCTCTCGTTTTATTTCGTGAAGTGCATACTCCCTTTGCAGTTTTAGGTACATACCGGGGGGGATTCAGTGCCTTGGACGGGATGACTAGCAGGGCGGGGTAATGAGCCGCCGTACAAGGCTCAATACCTTGCAGCATGTCATGTTTTTTTGTGGGCCTTTTTCTATCTATCATGATCTCTCGAACTGCAACAACGGTGTGCAGCGTGTGAGTTTGAAATATGTTCGGTCACCGGTAACTCGTGTTTTCCGACGGCAAGAAGTTTCTTTACTGATCCTTTCAAGAATGTTCCACGTTTCTTTTTTTTTGTGTGTGTTTGTGTGTGTTTTTTTTTATCTTCCTCTCGTTCTCTTGCGCAGGTGGGGGCGAAATCCGCGGGGGGTTAGCTACACGTTCGGGCATGACGTGATCGAGGAATTCTTGACGCGGCACGATCTTGACCTTATCTGCCGAGCCCATCAGGTGAGAAGAGAAGAATAGTAACAAGAAGAACAGACCAAGAACAAGAGGAAGAAATAATACTTCTTTATTGTACGAGGCACGCCCCCGGAGTGGGATCACCAGAGCATTCAAGGCATGATGCAAGATGAAAGTAACGTATGTGTTGTGAACTGCCAGCTGCCATCAGTGACGTTCCCCAATCTCGAGCAGGTCACAACACCTCACGTGCTTTTTACTCGAAGAAGAAGAGCCCAGCGAACCTCAACGAACAAAATATATATACAGTAGTCTTTTGCTTACCCCAAACGAGTACCATCTCGTACGCACGTCTGAAGTTGGCTTGCCCATCCCATTTTCGCTTCTTTCTCTCTTTCCCCCACCGTTTTCCTTCTCTCCCCCGTTTTGATTTACTTGTTCGAGTTTTTGTCCAGAGAACGAAAAACAAAATGCTTCAAAGTAATATCGCTTGGACAAACAAACAAACTAGAGGAGTAATTAATTACTTGATTTGTTAACTTGGAAAATAATAATAATAATAATATAATAATGAATGGTTATTCACTGCAAAATAAGGTGGTTGAGGACGGCTACCAGTTCCAGGCGAACCGGCAGCTGGTGACCCTCTTCTCCGCGCCGAACTACTGCGGGGAGTTCGACAACGCGGGCGCCATCATGTCGGTCAACGACAACCTCGTCTGCAGCTTCAGAGTGCTCCGCCCGGCCTCTCACAAGAAGTTTATGGGCTAGCTCGGCCAGCCAAAGTTTTTTTTGTCAATATCTGGTTCTCTCTCTCTCTCTCTTTTTAGTGAGTGTAGGTTTTTGGAGTGGAGCAGCTTGGTGCTTTGTTTTTATGCATCCCCACCCTCGAGACCTTCGTTCACGCCGTTGTTGCTGTTGTTGTTCTTGGTTCTTTTTCTTCTTCCAGTACTATTTTTTGTGTTTATCTTTCGGGGCCCTGCTTCTGTTGTTGTGTGCAACTGTAGGTAGGGTCCCTGCTTTTTTATGGACGGGGCTTGTTTTAGAGCGGCCTCCTGTCGATTGATTCAAAAAAATGATTTTTATCTTGTTTTTTTTATTGGCTTTGACAGGAAGTGAGAACAAAGAGCGCGCGAGGGGGGGGGGGGGGGGGGGGGGAAAAAAAATTAAAAGAAAAAAGCCTAAGGGTTTTCCTTTCCCCTTTGGGGAAGGGCCCCCCTTATTTTTTGAACCCTGGGGGGGCCCCCCCCCCCAAAACGTTCCCTTTTGGTTTGTTTTTGCCGCTTGGTTCCCCGGGGGGACCGAGGGGGGGGAAGGACCGAAATAATTCCCCCCCGGGTTTCCCCCGGGGGCCAAAAAAAAAAAAAAAAAATCCCAAGTGGCAAGGGTTTTTTTTTAAAAAATTGGGGGGGGGGGGCCACATTTATCCACCAAGTAGGGGCCCCTTTCCCCAGCCGTACCAAAAAAAAAACCTTTTGCCCTTGAAAAACAAAATTGCACGGGCGGGGGGACAGTATGCGGGCCCCCCCGGGGACCCCCCCCCCCCCTCAAGAA